AGAGAGAGAGAGAGAGAGAGAGAGAGAGAGAGAGAGAGAGAGAGAGAAGAGAAGAGAGTGAGTGTTGTCAGGCTGTTAGAGATGGGGAGGGGAGAGGGAGGGAAGAAGGGAAGGAGAGAGAGGAGGGGAAGAGGGGAGGGAGAGAGGGTGAGATGGGAGTTTATTGAGTAACTACAAGGCTGAGCACTGTCTTGATGATGGCCAGTCCAGTTTCACTGCTCTGTGTTTAATGGGTCCTTCAGACTTCTGCCCAGTGTTTACCTATCTTGACAGGTGTCTTAAACTTAATATTGTTATATGTTGAATATAGTTTAAATTAAACTATAACTTTAAATTTTATACCATAAAATGGTATTTGAAAGCATCATGTTTTAAGAACCACTCCCTGTGCCATTTCATCGTTTCCATTCTGAAGCTGACAGCTCTTTTCCCCCTGTAAACCCATCCACTTCACACTGTTTCCCTGCAGTAAGGGAAAGTGTGGGGAATTGGTCAAATATTGACCGTCTACATTAAATAGAAAATAATCATAATCTTACTCGTGGCAGGCATTGCCCTAAATGCTTCGAATTCTTTGGCACACTTGAAACCTCACGCCTCAGTCGGACATTTGTGGTGATCACTGGTCACTTTATGTGTTTGGGAAACAAGCCGCTGTCATGTCAAGTCATGTGCTTGGCCATAGTCAGCTGGAACTCATGTGCCAGGCTGAGCCCTGCTCTGTTCAGGAGCACTGTTGTGGGGACAGGAGGAAAAGGAAGAACTTGTCCCAACTTGGGAGATGCTGGCTTAAAGGATTGGTCTCAAGGAATGCGATCTTCCGCCATTCCTTGTTAGCGTATGAAATGACATTTCATATTGAAAATGGGGAAGCTGTATTAAGATGTCTTTAATTTTTTGTCTTTACCAGTATAAATGAAGCCATCATTCAGGAGTCTTTCCGTGAAGAATGTTAATTCTCCTTCTTCTCTCCCCCACAGGCTTTGTATCCACTAATTACCTGTCTTTTATGTGTCAGTCAGAAACAGTTTTTTTTAAATAACTGGCATATTTTCCTACAAAACTGTTTGTCACATTTAAAGGTAAGACACTGTTACATCTCTGACCTGTGGATACTGGGATGTGTTCATTTCTCTGTGTCCACTGATCAGTAAATAGCAAAACTTTGATTACTCTTGGTGCATTTGAATAATACATTTGAGATAGTCTCTTGTGCACTTTGCTTCTGTAGGGAATTGTGTATGGCAATTAATAACCCTTTACTTGAACATTTTATTTGTATTAAATGCAGAATTCTATAGTTCAAGGATCTTCATATCTTAGATGTAGCGATACTTATAGATACAATTATTAAGAATTATGAATAAACTATTACTTAGTCTCATAAACCCTTCATATATGTATTTTGTCTTTTGTGTTAAGAAAGTTCAGCAATGTTGGGGCAAGCCTCAGTATGCAAAAGCTTTAATAGTATTGTCACTAAATCCTCCACAGTGAGTGTGCACAGCCGGGTCTGAACACGGGGCACCAGAACGTGCAAGTACCTAACGCTGTCATGTGAATGGAGGGGTACTTGTTACTAACACCATCTGGCATGACCACACTTGTCCTTTCCAAGTGTCACCAACACAGGGGTGAGAGTCTGTAGAGAGACTTTTCTTCCCAGAATGCTCTGCGCACCTGGTTTTCATTTCCTCCTTGGCTAGGAACACAATCCGTGTCCAACACGAAAGGCGGGACTCTGCTTCACGACGCATGTCCCGTGAATGCAGGGTTAGAGGAGTCCATTCAGATATTTGCTTACACGTCAGAGAAGTGTAACGGATTGGCGTTCCCCTTCCTGTTCTTTGAGTTACACTGGAGACTGAGAGCCTGATGTCCTGGTAGGACCAAGGCATAGCTCAGTTAAATGAAGGTCTCAGGCCATGTGACTCGGTGTATTGTGAACAACAGGACTCGTTTACCCTTCAAGAATAGTCCTCTGGGTAATCTTCAATGTCTTCATGATTTTCTATATTATCTTCAAACCTGCTTTGACTTCACAGTAAGGTATTTGGAAGCTGAAAGTCATCAGAAAGCGTTTTTTGACTGTTTTTCCTTTTACACATACATTCATTTATATTATCCCTTCTTAGATACGACTTGAGGTACCCTCTTTGGTTATGAAAACCTCCAAGACTAGATCAAGTTGATTTAATTTTTTTTTAAATCTCACAACCAGGAAAGAAAGGCTGCCAGGTGTTTACATGGTAACTGTTTCTGTCCTCATTCTGATGATATAGACACTAAGGGGAGTGTGCCTTCTTCTGAGTCAGTTTTCTTTCTTCTGGAATGCTTTTTAAGATGTGCATTTACTGTTTCTGGGCATGGCAGTTCATCCCTTTCTGTTGCTTTGTTGCAGTTTCTTTCTATCTTCATTCCTACCTAACATACATAACAATGCTTTCTCAGTACCTTAACCCCTGTCCCTCCCCCACCCTTTTTTGTCTTCAGGTTTCCATTTAAAATGCTATTTTCTTTGAACCCTTACCTCCTATTAAATATTTCTGGCATATTGTCCATTTGAGTGAATGGCTGCATCAATCTGCCAGGCTGAAGGAGATAAGGTCCACGAGGTGTAGCATGAATACTTGGATTTCAGTTGTCTTGGCCATTAACCCTTAACTGACATGAAGGCTCTATTCAGCAGAAATTGTGCGACTTGTCTCCTGCTTGTTAAGCTTCCAATGACATGGCGGCTGTGCTTAATGACGAAAGGAGATTTAAACATCCTAAGAAACGCTGTGCTAGCTAGGTGTAATAGCGAGTTGCAGTTTATTTCTCCTATTTATTGGAAAATTTAATGAAAGGCCTTTTCTAATCAATTACCTGATTCAAGCGAATCTATTGATTTTTTTTGTTTTTGTTTTTTACTTTTTTTACATCCACCTAAAAGCATTTTCATTTCACTGCCAACCCTCCTTCCCAGGATTCATTTTTCTCATGTCTACTGGATTGAATCTTGACAGTTTCCCTGTAGCTGAGGCAGAAAGAGGACAAATGATCTCAGTATCAGTCACCAGGAGTGACAGACACAGGTCTGCATCCACAGTCATCCCGTCTGACGATGTTCTCAACTTCCAGTCGGCCATACTCTCCTAGAACGTGCAGAAAGGATGCTTCATGTTCTAAGGAAGCGTCTTGGCTGTCGTCCCGGGATATTAAGAGACTTTATGCTCCAGAGTCATATGAATAAGTCTAGTGAATTTTCTAGGCCCTTACAGCTATTATATATACAGCTTTAAAAGAAAAAATATTACCCTGCCAGGCTGAGGAGACAGCTCGGGGTAAAGAGCTGCAGGGTGACGGCCAGGATCAGGGTTTCCAGGACCCATGTAGATGTGTGGGCATTGCAGCTTCCGTATAATCCACCACTTGGGAAGTGGAGACAGGGGATTGATCAGCAGGACAAACTGGCCACCTAGACTAGAACAGCAGCTTCAGTCCAGTTGAGAGACTCTGCCTGTCAGCTGGGTAATGTGGAAAGTGGTGGAGGAAGATTCCAGAAGTCAGCCTCATGCCTGCACACGCACGCGCACACACACACCTTCATACATTCTCATACCCTCCCACAAGCATAACCCCCCCACACACACCCCCTTATACACACACAAGCAATCGTATCTCACACACAGACACATGCTAAGAACCCTTCTAAAGTTGATACGGCACATTTTTAATTTGGCAGTCACAATAGAATGGGCTTTGCTGCTGTACGGTCACGCGTGAAAGAGTGGTGCTTAATTTCCACTGAACAGTTCATTTTGAAATCTTTGTACTCTTAACGAAAGTATGGTAAATTTCCACCCCTTCATCATTAGTCAATTTAAGTTCAATTAGATTATGAATATCAATTTGAAAGTTTTCTGAAGAATTACTAGGAGTCAGGACCATAGAAAAAGAACCCAGGGACTCACCTGCGGTCATCGATACGTAGTTCCCTTCATTTGAAGGTCATGTTGGGAGGAGAACTAGGTAACAAGACATGTTAGTTTTCTCCTAGCTTGAGTCATAGGCTCCAGGATACCCAAACTTTGGGATTGGTTTTGTTTTGTTTTTTTTGTTTGTTTGTTTGTTTTGTTTCTTTAGCATTTCTGGCCACTGCCTTGGAAATGTCAGATTTCTTCTAAATAGAGGCCTTGGTGAGGAGCTGTCGTGTTTTGTGCTTATTTTCATCTAACATGCATGTGCCGCATCTCATGTTTACGTTTGCTGTCTCACGTTGCTTTATTTAGATGCCATCTAACAACAGTATCAGAAAACAAATAGAAACCCTGCAGGTGAGTTGTGTTGACGTCACCAAGTAAAGTATCGCTTTCTTTTCTTTAAGAGCGGCATTTGTTTTTGTTTTTTCGTTTTTTGTTTTTTTTTTGTTTTGTTTTGTTTTGTTTTCCCCTTTGCCCATTGTTGCATTGCATGTCTGAAGTATTTACCTCAACCTGCTTTTACTGTGTGTGGAAGAGTAGCCCAGAGAGGGTGCCCCCTTCAGGAGGTTGGCTGTCACTGCAGCCCCAAGAAGGTGTATAGTAGAGATGTGGGTGACGGTGGCCTCGGCTGACTGCTCACAGTGTTGATGGTTTTACTCCAGTGTTTAATTTGCACTGTCCAACTATTCTAAATGAATATGTTAAAAAAAATGTTGCAGTGAAATTAAGAAGTAGATAGCTTGGTTTTCAACATGGTTTTGATGAATGAGTTTTTGAACCTTTATCCTATTGGTTTGGGTTTTCTAACAACGCAAATTTGTTTTTTGTTTTCTTTTAAGTTCACATTAGAGAAAAGAGAATGCACACATCCAAATGGTTGCTGTAGGACTCACACTTAACTGATGTGCCAGACTTTGGAGAATACTAAAGTCCTCGGCTTTTATGTAACAGTCAGATGAATCTGATTTGTATGAATTTTACCTAGAGAATTACACAGCTTTGTTTAAGGCCTAGATCAATGTAGGATATTTCGCTCATTCTAACATGTACAGCAGAGTGAGTTAGTTAGTTCCTTTCTATCCCCCCCGCCCCCGCCCCTCTTCTCTCTCCTCCCTCTACCAGGGACACGCTGTTGTCATTTATGTAGTGCTCTGCTTTCTGAGGCCTTCCACAAGTGTGTGTGGCTGAGCCCATCACCATGACGCCCTCCAGAGGGCTGGCGCTCTCTCCCTCCCTCCCTCCCTCCCTCCCTCCCTCTCTCTCTCTCTCCCTCCCTCCCTCTCTCCCTCCCTCCCTCCTCTCCTCCCTTCTTCCCTTCTTTCCTCCCTTCCTCCCTCTCTCCCTCCCTCCCTCTCTCCCTCTCTCCCTCCCTCCCTCTCTCCCTCCCTCCCTCCTCTCCTCCCTTCTTCCCTTCTTTCCTCCCTTCCTCCCTCTCTCCCTCCCTCCCTCTCTCCCTCTCTCCCTCCCTCCCTCTCTCCCTCCCTCCCTCCTCTCCTCCCTTCTTCCCTTCTTTCCTCCCTTCCTCCCTCTCTCCCTCCCTCCCTCTCTCCCTCTCTCCCTCCCTCCCT